ATAAGTACAATATCTACCAGCATCGACTACAGAAGACTAGAATTAAGTAGTCTTCCATCATACTTTGAAAAGGTATTTGATGTTTTACTTAAATCTAAGACAGTTTTAGTGAAGCACTTACAGGTCTGCTGGCTACATGCCAGCCGTCAATGCTATAGACTATGATGTTTACATTCTAAATCAATTTATATCTACACTATACCAGCCAGCAATGTGTAGCAATTACAAAAATACATCTTACAATGCTTTCTAAACCATGACATTACCACAATAAATACATTGTCTTCTCACAAGGAACCCTGGAAACAATATAGAGGATAATTATGTCTAATCAAGACCTTAGAGCAGGAATCTACTAGTTCCTTCATGTGACCCGACAGGGTTTGTGAATTACATTGTACCGTGCGGCAGGAGCGTATGCTAGACTATAGTGCACTTAAAAATTGGTTATTTCCAAATAGTTGTTTTACCAATTACATTTTTAAAAAACTACAAGTTAGTAAAATACATGATAGCAAGAGAAATTTGAGCGGACTCTACAATTACACAATGTAATGTATTTTTCTAGGAACATCATTGCTGAATTTAAAATATGAACGTTATTGCTGTATTTAAAATATGAACACAGTCTAACCACTGTATGCCTCTTGTTCATGTATTTGGGCAAGATGTATAGATCCCCAAATACCATATTAATGAACACTAAAGATACTCAAGATGCTAATTTAAAAAGACCTGTGGAAGAGGCACGAGTTATAGCTTAACTTCTTCCTCCACACCTTAGGCTAGAAAAGGCTTTTTACTCTAAACTGCCCATTTGTCCACATACTTCCCTATTGCCCCAGTGACACATTACACTTAAACCCTTAAAGTGCTAAGGAGGGAGAGGTTAAATGTTAAAATTAAAAATCTGAATCCTACTTTGGGTTCACTTTACAATAAAATACCAATAAAATGTTAAGCACGAGCTCAATTAAAATCATGTCAATTAGTCTTATTGGAGATCCTACTAGGTTTGAAAGTTTTGATAACTAACTATGACGTCTAGCCATTTTTCAAAATCTTTCTTCTGAGCCAATCATGTGTTTATACCAAGTTCCTTTCTCCAAACCAACAAAGAAAATCTGTTTTGACAGGCATCACGTTCTCCAATGCCACAGACTTGGTAAGTTTTGTCCATCTGAAGTTCTTGCAGCATCAAGTTCTCCCACAAACGGACAGTGTTACACGCTGAAACATTATAGTAATGGTTTATTTAAATGACTACAAAACATTTAAATATTAAGTTCCTTTGTTAAAAAAGTAGTGTATATAGTCGACCCGGGAACCACCGATTCAACCCGTTATCGCACTTGCATGTAGTCTATTTGGCTTATTCATAAGTGCATGCAAGACTAATTTATGATATTTGGTTTACCTTTAAATTCTGAGTAGAAAATATTGATCGAACCTAACCTTAGTATGTTAAGATTACAGTTAGCACTGAACCTATACTTATATTGATATTACAGCTTTTTAGAAATAGCTAAACTAAAATATTTAAATCTATTTTAAAGCAATTCATGATATTGTCAAATTTTGTACAAAATCTATTGTTTAATAAAACAGGAAGACTTTGCATCTAAAATATGGCTTTGAATAAGTCACATATATACTTATTTATAAGCCAAATAGTGATTAAGCAACAAGTCATATGTGCCGTCTAGTGGGTCGACTGGTTACCCCATATATATTTAAGAAAAAATTGCAATTACGAGTAAATCATATACAGGCCAGTCATATATATAAAGTATTTGTTCAGAAAATTAGAATAAGCCTCCCCTTTATTATGAAAATATCAGGGGGCCCCAACAAGAAATTTATAGCCTAGTGGACTGAAGTTACTGTTACAAAAGTTTTCCCCAAAAAAGAAGCTACAGCCAAAATAGCCAAGACAAAATGCTTCACCACAACGTGATATTTAATCTAGTTTGAAACAGTTGCCACCAAGAATACTTACAAGTCTCAAGAACCGATGGCAGGTACTTGGCCGTCTATTATACCAGCATTTTCCAGTGAATTTATCTAGCACATCTGATACATCGCTATTGAAGCTTTTCTTTGGCAATTCATTGCTCAGGCGAAACAAAACTGGTGAAAAAAAAAATAAGTGGAGAAACTTATAGAAAAAACATTTGTGCAGAATCTAGTTCCCACCCTCCCCCTGAATACAAGAAAGAAACCATATTCTTCAAATCTTGGCAAAGCCACTATTTCTATTTAAAATATGCTAGGCATCTAAACCCTAAAAAAATTAAAAAGTTACTTAACAAAAGGCTCTACTACTTGGCCCAAGTCAATTTTTCTTCATACAATATTGTAACTTATGCCTTTAGTTAGCAACCATTTCTAATTGGATAGGAAAATTGGTTACGAACTTTTTAACTTCCAAAAATTGAAAGTTCACTGTATAATATCTTACCTTTTTTATGCACGTCAGTAGTCAAGAATTTTTAGCCACAGGAAGAACACCGTTTATTCCATCTAGCATAGTTCATTTTCTTGGGCTGTGGCCTCTAATCATCTACACTAGAATCTGAATACTCTAGTAGTGGAGGACTTGGCAATGGCACTGGTCCTCCAATGAGCAACAGAGTCACGAAGAGGAGGCGTGAGCGCCAATGCCAATGCTGACTGGACAACGAGTCACTGGTTTGTGAAGGTGGAGTTATATCCATTAATGGCTCTTGTGGTGTAGCTGCTTGCTCAGGCACGACAGGAGCCCGAGCCTCATCATTGACGAATAAAACGTTCCTAGCAGAATATTGTCTCATAATTATCTCTACATAATAATCTATTATTTGTAAAGGTGTAAAGGATTGAGAGGCACTGCTCTGAATGCTATTATCTGGAAAGAAATCCCCCAAACCTGGTGCCAAGCCAGGCCCGGCGGCGGGTCGCTCCCGGCTCTCAGGCCTGGCGGCGTGCCGCTTCCGGCTCCCAGGCCTGGCGGCACTCGGGTGCCTAGCAGGAGAATCCACCATGCCGGGTGTCAAGGGAGCACAGGGGTACCGATTTGCGACCACAGGACCAGTCATGTGCCGCTCCCTGCCCAGAGACCCAGTGGCATCCCCAGCCAGACGCCCGGCGGCGTCCCCATCCTCTGCCAAAGGCTCGGCGGTGTGCCGCTCCCGGCTCCCAGGCCTGGCGGCACTCGGGTGCCTAACAGGAGAATCCACCATGCCAGGTGTCAAGGGAGCACAGGGGTACCGATCTGCGACCACAGGACCAGTCATGTGCCGCTCCCTAATGCGAGGCCCGGCGGAGTGCCGCTCCCTGCCCAGAGACCCAGTGGCATCCCCAGCCAGATGTCCGGCAGCATTCCCATCCTCTTCCAGAGGCCCGGCGGTGTGCGGCTCCCGGCTCCCAGGCCTGGCGGCACTCGGGTGCCTAACAGGAGAATCCACCACGCCGGGTGTCAAGGGAGCACAGGGGTACCGATCTGCAACCACAGGACCGGTCATGTGCCGCTCCCGTATGCGAGGCCCAGCGGTGTGCCGCTCCCGGCCCCGAGACCCAGTGGCATCCCCAACCAGAGGCCTGGCGGCGTCCCCATCCTCGGCCAGAGGCCCGGCGGCGTCCCCATCATCTGCCAGAGGCCTGGCGGCGTCCCCATCCTCTGCCAAAGGCTCGGCGGTGTGCCGCTCCCGGCTCCCAGGCCTGGCGGCGTCCCCAGCCTCTGCCAGAGGCCCGGCGGTGTCCCCATCATCTGCCAAAGGCCTGGCAGCGTGCCGCTTCCGGCTCGCTGGGGTGCCCGGCGCAACCACCACTCGGGTGACCGATCTGCCCACAGGAGGAGTGCCGCTCCACCACGGCCCAGCGGCGTCCCTCCCTGCCCCGAGGGAGGCCCGGCGGCGTCCCCATCATCTGCCAGAGGCCCGGCGGCGTCCCCATCATCTGCCAAAGGCCTGGTAGCGTGCCGCTTCCGGCTCGCTGGCCCGGCAACACTCGGGTGCCTAACAGGAGAACAATCCACCACGCTGGAAGTCAAGGGAGCACAGGCGTACCGATCTGCGACTACAGGACCGGTCATGTGCCGCTCCCTGCCCAGAGACTCAGCGGCCTCCCCAGCCAGAGGCCCGGCGGCGTCCCCATCCTCTGCCAGAGGAACGGCGGCGTCCCCATCCTCTGCCAGAGGCCCAGCAGCGTCCCCGGCCGCAGGCACGGCAGCAACAGTCGGGCACCGAACTCGTCGCTTACGACCACGCTTGCGTCTATTAGACTTTCCAGGCTTCGTTGACACAGTCGAGAGAGTTTCCTCCCGCTTTTGCAAGGCAGCTGGGTTATCCGCCTTTGCATGTTTCTTAATCTTTGCGAGTAGTCCAGGGGCCCCGGCGCCAGCCTCCCCAGGTCCAGGGGCCCCGGCGCCAGCCTCCCCAGGTCCAGGGGCCCCGGCGCCAGCCTCCCCAGGTCCAGGGGCCCCGGCGCCAGCCTCCCCAGGTCCAGGGGCCCCGGCAGCCTCCAGGTCCAGGGGCCCCGGCGCCAGCCAGGGGCCCCAGCCACCAGCAGGGGCCCCGGCGCCAGCCTCCCCAGGTCCAGGGGCCCCGGCGCCAGCCTCCCCAGGTCCAGGGGCCCCGGCGCCAGCCTCCCCAGGTCCAGGGCCCCAGCACCACCCACCAGAGGCCCCGGCCAGTGGCCCCAGCCTCCACCAGAGGCACCAGTGGCCCCAGCACCACCACCAGAGGCACCAGTGGCCCCAGCACCACCACCAGAGGCACCAGTGGCCCCAGGAGGCACCAGTGGCCCCAGCACCACCACCCAGTGGCCCCAGCCAGTGGCACCAGTGGCCCCAGCACCACCACCAGAGGCACCAGTGGCCCCAGCACCAGAGGCACCAGTGGCCCCAGCACCACCACCAGAGGCACCAGTGGCCCCAGCACCACCACCAGAGGCCCCAGCACCAGTGGCCCCAGCGCCACCAGAGGCACCAGTGGCCCCAGCACCACCACCAGAGGCACCAGCACCAGTGGCCCCAGCAGAGGCACCAGTGGCACCAGCACCGGAGGCCTCAGCATCTAACAGCAGATTAGTACTCGTGTTCTGTCCAGGAACCAAACTATCGCGCACTTCAACGTACGCGTCTTCGTCAGCATCATTCCAGTCGTCAGGGTCGAGGCCTGAAACGGACTCCAGCCAACACCTAGACGCGTCGTTCCGAGACGACATCGATTCTGCATCCTGCCAAACCTGGATATCGTTTTTCCAGGTGTTAAGTAGTTCACTTGGGGACTCGTAGCGTGTCTCCAGGCCACTTTCCATCATATCTCTGTAATCGCAATTATCTGCACGATGGACTGCATTCAAGTTATTCTTTGTAGGTTCATCTTCAATTTTATTAGTTTGTGTCAGTAAGCAATTTCCTAAAATATTTCCTTCCATTCGTGTCTTTTCAAGACTTATGCCTTTAATACTTTTAAAACCTTCCATGGTTTGGAGTAGCTGCCCTGGTTCTAACAATCCTATGGACTCCTCGAAGTTAAATAACTTTTGTCTCTTAAATTCATTTTGTAGTTTACTGTCCAAGCATCCACGAATACCCGTGAAGGATGATTCTGCAAGATAAAAATCATTATAGATTAACTTCATACAAATCATGAAGGCAAGAATTAAGTTTATTCTTCTTTTAACCCGATAAGTTTATTTACCTTTGATAGATCTGAATTATCCTGCCGAACTAAATTGTTTGCTCACATCCCACGTTAAATAAATACATTTAAACATTACCCTTTTAATTAATCAAAACTTTACTTACGATGCATGGAAGTATTATTTGATTCAGGTAATATTTATTTCAATGTAATTACCCAGACATCCCACTGAGGAAACCATCACTTGACAAGTACAGCTGTAACCGTCACGTAGGGTGACGACTATTTAACCGAAGGATATTGTACCCAGCACATCATACCTCTTGTATAAATATCAGCAGCAACAACTTACCATTACGAAGGACTAAAATACACATGTTAAAATAGGATTCCAACGGTTGCTGGAGAATAAAAGCCTAAGGATGAGCGAGGGACAGAGAGCTCCAACAAGTGTCTCCACTGTACTCTCGGGAAGAAGTGTACAGACCAACGCTGACCACCAGCGAGGACAACAATTAAAGTAAGCGGTAAAGAAACTGTGTGATGATCTGCGTCACGTGGCCACTTTCTGGTTTTGCCCTCAATCAATAGATGGCGCTGTCGACGGACCTGTCACCACAGTCAAATCAGAAGCTTTATTCCCTAAATGGTTGTACATTTATAATTAAGAAAGTTTATATAATATTACAGTACATTAATTACATGCCATAATAACATTATAGCAAGTAGACATTGTCGTTATCAGAATCTTAAACTGTATTACAGATGGCGACACACCAGAGATTTGTACAGTTGAACAAAGACTTTCTTTTCCTTAAGTCAAACGTTGGTTTTACTATTCCCAGGGTTTGGTTGGCCATTATATTTAGTGTCTACCTTTTGGGCAACCTTTAAAGCCAGTAGGCTTACAGAGACAAGCCGCCTGTAGAGAGCCAGCAGGCTTACAGAGACAAGCCGCCCGTAGAGAGCCAGCAGGCTTACAGAGACAAGCCGCCTGTAGAGAGCCAGCAGGCTTACAGAGACAAGCCGCCTGTAGAGAGCCAGCAGGCTTACAGAGACAAGCCGCCTGTAGAGTAAAAAGGGCGGGAATGAAAGCCGTGTGATAGTAAAGACGAGAATCGCCCCTTGGCCGCAAAGCAGGAATTATTACCTGTAGCAATTGCTATTGTAGACGAGTTTGGGATATTGTAACCTATACATGTTTGGGTGACATTATTCAAAGAGTTTAGTTTGTTGTTTAATAGTCATGGGTACAACAGTCTGATATTGTAAGTGTAATGACGTGTTATGAGAGCTGAGACGAGGCCTGGAGCAGACGGCAGAGTGAGACCGGGGGTGGGGTGTGTAGAGCTCCGATGCGGGACGGGAGCGAGTCTTCTCTGTGGCCAGGCTGTAGCGTCTTGCAAGAGTAAGAAACTAGACTCGAGTGTTAAATTGTTGCTGGTGAATGTGATGGTGTTGAACATCCCAAGTATGTACAGAACGTCAGTCACTGAACCGCTGCTGGAGTGACTGTCGACGCTCCTGTTGTTGTTGTTGTCTTAGATTCAGCTACTCAGAACAAAAAGTTCCAAGCAGCGCGGGCTGTGGTGAGCCCGTAAGTGGAGGCTCTTCGGAGCCATTATCTGTATCAATAGCTGATACTAGAGATCTGGGGATGGATGATGAAGGGTCTTCATGGTGGTTTTCAGCCCTGGAGGGCTGGCTGTACCAGTTATGGAGCTGGTGGGGTTAGTGTAGACCTCTAGGTTTTCCGTTTTTTCTTTGAATGAGACTTTGGCTGAGCCGTGCTGTCGTCGGAGTTTCACGAGGTGGTCTCCATGAGAAGTTCTTGTACGGAGTAGGTGTATTTGTGGTGCAGGTTCCGTTAAGTGGGTATATTCGTTAAACAAATTTGGCATATTTAGGTCACAGTCCTGGCTTCAAGTAAGTAAGTAATTGTAACAAACTAGGCTGTTGTAAGAATTATTCCAGAAGGTTCCAGAAGTTCGAGTAGGGACCTGACCTCTCAACAACGCCCAGTCCCCTGGGAATTAGCAGGTCTGAGTCACAAATGGCGGGCATCTTTGTTCATAGCTGCGTATAATGAACCATCCTATAGTATTCAGTAATTTAGAGAAAATTAGCCTTTATTCATTTTGCATTAAAATTGTATTGTATAATAGTACTGGATACAATATCAAGAGTATTCTAATTATTGAGTTTAAGTCACCATCAGTGACGTCACGAATCAGATCTAACTTTTAAGGCGGAGTGACCGGCGGTCATAGGTCAGCAGGGTTGACATGTCTAGTATTTCTCAAAGTTCAATTAACCATTTTGGGGATCGGGAACAGCTCTGCCGTTAGATGTTTGTAATTTAATTCAGTAAAATAAATCAACCAGTCTGGATCAATTCAGTACAAACAGAGGTTAATTGTTATAACTTAAACCTTGCTAGTAACTGGGTAGAACTTTGACTGACTAGGCGGAAGGATACAATGCTCTGTCTGGGGTAGACCAGACAAGAGAGAGATCAGTGTGAATACGGGAGCAGCTGGGAGAGGTCAACCATCTTACCTCTCCCCAAGACCAGCACAACAGCTAGAGCTGGTCGCCCAAGGTATAGTTGCTATGGTTATGTATAGAAATAGTCTCATTTGCCACTCATTCCAGATCTTGTACAAGCCTGGTCCAGCACATGTTGTGCCAGATACGCTAAGTAGAAATATAGCGGCAGTTCAAATTAATGAAAACATTGAAACCATTCCATCAGATAAAATGAGAGAATACCAGATGAACGAGCCGAGATGGAAAGAGGTTATTGAGTATTTAGAGGGAGGAAAATACCCGAAAAAGAAAAAGAATTTACCTATTCATGATTTTGAGATGAAACAGGGCGTCCTGTATTATGTTAATAGCCAGAATGATAGGGCGGTATTTCAGCTAGTTATTCCGGACGCGTTGCGGTCATCAGCGTTAAAGCTTGCACATGCTTCAAAAATTGCAGGGCATCCGGGGATCTTTAAAACGCACTTAAAAGCAAAGTCTCTATTTTATTTTCCAGGATTACTTTCTGAGGTAATCAATTTCGTGAAGTCGTGCCCTCGTTGCCAGAGGAGGAAAGGCACCCTTAAGGTACAAGCCCCACTTCAGGAATTTCCTGAAATTCGTGAACCGTTAGATCGTGTGGGGGCCGATCTGATTGATTTACACCACAGTCATGCGGGTAACAGATATGTGTTGGTGCTAGTTGACCATCTGTCTAGATACACTACACTAGTTGCATTACCTCAGAAGGATTCTCGTACGGTTGCAGATGCGTTCTTGCGTAGGTTCGTTACTGTATTCGGACCTCCTAAAGTTTTAGTCTCTGACCGGGGTCAAGAATTCAATGGGAATATATTTAGAGAAGTTTGTAAGATTTTAGAGACAACTTCGGCTTTTACAACGGCCTACCACCCACAAGCAAACGGAATGACGGAACGGACTAATCGTTCAGTCAAGGATATGCTTGCAATCCTTGCTGAACATGATGCAAACACCTGGGATGAACACCTACCCTATGTTCAGTTCGCCTTGAATACTGCCATCCACCAATCAATTAACACCCAACCACTTCATTTGTTTACTGGTAATTCATGCAATTTCCCGTCAGGTCTGCTTAACAGACATAATGTTGCATACGGGGAGGACTATCCTTCAGAGGTCCTTGGAAAAATGAGAAATGCATGGAATATTGCAGCTGAAGCGTCCAAGAAGGCACGGACTCGGTATGCTCATTTTTATGACAAGAAAGTGCCCCCTCTTGAGTTGAAGGAAGGAAGCCTCGTATTGAGAGTGAATGAGGCTGCGCCCGCCAATCAGAGCAGGAAACTAGCTCCGAGGTGGCGAGGACCATATAGAGTAATTAAAAGGGCGGGGCCGGTTAATCTTGTTATAAAAGGAGTGTTCGAGGACCAGGTGGAAAGGACAATTCACGTGAATAAATTGAAACATTATCATGCTAGAGAGGAATTAGAACTGCCTTCAGCGGGTCTAGTTCCTGACTCAGCAGTGCTGACTCATGGCTTCACCGACGAGTCAGAAGATGAGGATGACCCTCTGTCATCGCTCATCAGTAGTCAGGTGCAGTCTCGCCACCCTATGGTGACGAGATCTCGCGCTATACAGTAAAGTAACTTCCTTGGTTAGTATAATTTAGTATTCATTAGTTTTTCCTGTAAAGGCAATGAGATGTACTATGTCTATACTTGACTCAGGTAGCAACTTTTACCGTGCTCTGGGGTTCCACCTCCACCAAACCCAGAGTATATCTATGCTTCCGCTGTGTTGTGTCTGTCTGTTCCCAGGTCTGATTGGTACACCGACCCAGTTGTTCCAGCCACACGTGAACCCTTGTCTGTAAAGACCGAGGGGGGAGGCACGTTACACAAAGCCCTCCCCCCACTAGACCCAGTAACCCATACATCAGTTACTTTGGGGATGAGTGACTGTCCAAGAGTCACCCGGCCGACGCCTCACGTTACTAACGAGGTTGTCAGGGCCAGCGAGCTGTCCACATTATAGCAGTCACCGGAGGTGCCATACAACGCCGGGGTAGCTGTCTCGAGATCACCACTACCCACCTGCTGCGTCATCAAGACTGCAGCCATTCCAGCAGTGTTGGAGGAGAGGTCAAGAAATGGAAAGCACGTAGCAGTACTCAAGAATTTCGCCGGAAGATTAATGATTACGTCATCTGAAGTAACAAGAAAGCGGAAGTAAGGCGGTCACAGGTGGAAGGCACGGTTTCCCTACAGAGTACCGGGACTCGCCAATAGAAGGTCGCAAAATTGTC